GCGCCATCAAAGACGGGATGGATGCCGAGCTTCTCCGTATCCTCTCCAAAGTGGTTGAAGAGCTGGGTCTAGAGTGGTCTCCGCCAGAGGAGCCCTCTCGCAGCCGTCTGGATGAGTAGTTCCTGCCGGGGCGCCGCCAGGCCCCTCGCCAGCGTTCCTCTCCGTTTTTCCCGGAGGTCCATGACGAGCTCACCACATCGTGGCACACTCCCTACTCCACCCGCCTCCGTACTGCTTCTTCATCCGCCCTCACTTCCATCAACGGCGCTGAAGAAAAGGGGTATGATAAGCCACCTCCCCTAGATGAGTCAGTGGCCGAGCATCTCTGCCCGCCCACGGCCATCGGCTGGAGAGCAAAGGCCGCTCACTCATCCAAGCCGTGTAGGTCCACTTCAGCTTTCGCTGGACGCGCCTACACTTCAGCTGGACAGGCGGCTTCGGCGCTTCATTCAATGGCGGTCCTCCAGGTCTTCCAGGCCAAAATCCTCGCATCCTCCGATGAGTCAGGCCTGGACCCAGCTACCCTCAGGGATCTGAGGAGCGCAACCGACCTGGCTCTGCACGCCACCAAGACCATCTACCAGGCGATCAGAAGACCGATGGCCGGCCTTGTGGTGCTCGAGCGCCATTTGCGGCTGACACTGACAGAGATCAAGGACGCGGATAAGATCCCCTTCCTCGATGCTCCAGTCTCTCCCAAAGGCCTTTTCGGCCCGGCGGTCGAAGGATTCGCTGAGCGCTTCACGGAGGCACAGAAATCGTCCCAGGCTATGTGACATTTCCTGCCTAAGCGCTCCAGCTCCACTGCTACCTCTGCTCGCCCTAAGTCTGCACCGACTCAGCAACCCGCGAAACCAGCACCTGCCGCCCCCACCGTTCACCCCGCTAAAGCGCAGCAGAAGTTTTGTGCAAACAACAGGTCCGTTCATGCGCCCAAGCATTCAACCGCTGTGATAGTGGAAAAAATAAAACACAAACATTTTCAAAAAGAGAGCAAACTTCCTCTTCCATTACTCATAAGTGTTCGTTAAGTCAACCCCTTGTCACGCGGGCCGAGGCCTGGCAGGCCATCCCCGGGGTGTCGGAATGGGTTATGGGCATAATAAAGCGAGGATATTCACTCCAATTCGCTCGAAGACCCCCGCGCTTCAGCGGCGTGGTCCCCACCTCAGTGCAAAGCAAGGACGCTTACGTCCTGCGCTCAGAGGTGATGAATTTGCTGGCGAAAGGAGCTGTGGAAATGGTTTCTCCAGCCCAGAGCGAGTCAGGCTTCTACAGCCGTTACTTCCTCGTCCCCAAAAGAGATGGTGGCCTCCGGCCCATCCTCGATCTCAGACACCTGAATCACGCCCTCATGAAGAGGTCGTTCAGGATGATTACACTGAAACAGATCCTCGCGCAAATTCGCTCGGGAGACTGGTTCTTTTCTCTGGACCTGAAGGATGCATACTTTCACATCCAGATAGCCCCTCGTCACAGGCCATTCTTGAGATTCGCCTTCGAGGGTGTGGCTTATCAATATACGGTCCTTCCCTTCGGGCTGTCCCTGGCCCCCTGCACTTTTACGAAGTGCATGGATGTGGCTCTCTCCCCTCTGAGAGATGGGAATCCGCATTCTCAATTACCTCGACGACTGGCTTGTTCTGGCCCAGTCAGAGGCAGAATTAATATCACACAGGACCCTCCTCCTCAGCCAGCTGGAGTGCCTGGGACTCAGGGTCAATTTTGCCAAGAGCTCGTTGTTCCCCA